TATAATTTAATGGGAAAAAGGAATTTGTTTTCAGACAGGATCTCCCTGTGTCCAGGCTGGCCTTGAACTCACTGTGGACCCCAAGCTGTCCTCAAACTTGCAGCAGTCCTTGTGCCTCAGCCTCCTGAGTTCTAGGATTACAGACGTGCACCGCCACAACCAGCTGGGAAAAGGAACTCATGCAAAAATCTTCTCCGTCTCCCTACAGCCATGCTAATTGTTGTATAAAATAAGTGCAATTATACTTAGCTGGTAAGATACTCAAGGTGTAGGCTCTTGCTCTACTTAGAGACTATGTTCTGTAAGTGTTTTATGGAAGTAAACTCCTGTCTTTTAAAAGGGAAAACTATTCTTAATTATAGTTTTATAACCAGTAAGGATATTAAAGTTATATGTTTAAAGTAGATATACTTTCAGAATTTTGGTAATGCTTTGGCATTTTCTTGGGAAAAACTTCACTTTTGCAAACTTATTTCATGTGAGGAAAGTAATTTAAATGTGGCAGCCACTGATTGTTTAGAAGTTGACTGTCCTTCAGTTTTTCTTGATTTTTTGCTAAAAATAGGATAAGAAAAGAAATGTATCTATTCTATTCTCAATAGGAACATGAATAATAAAGAGGAGTCTAATAAGTAATTATGGACATAAAATTAAAGAATAAATTTTACACAGAAATGAAGGGTTTATGTTAAAAAAAAAAAAAAAAGAGCCACTCTAATCAGAAGCAGCACCATGGTGAATTTAACCAAGCATTTAAATTGGAATTCAGTCAGCTAAATATGGTTAAATAAATTCATCTTTTGATGCTTTCTGAATAAATAAATAAATAGATAGATAGATAGATAGATTTGAATTCAGAAATAAGGATTATTTCTAATGTTGTCCTACTTAATACAACATGCCAAAATTAGTTGTTCATCTAGTAGTTTGAGCTTGAAAAAAAGGTCATTCATGCTGTCTACTTGATTGTTTTCTGAAACGATTTTTAAATCAAAGTAATAAAATAAATGCTGTCACCTAAAAAGTTCGGATTGCATGGAGTTACAAAGTATCCTCCATAATCCTACCACTATTAATATTTTGATGTGTGTTATCTATAAACATTCTTTTTATAAAAATGGAATCATAGTATAACTATTTTATAATTTGATTTTTTAAATGTATATTATGAGTAACCTTAATGTCAATAAACCATTCCACATTGCCATATTTTAATGACTTTGAAATAGTCCATTGTATGTATTTATTATATATTCAAATGCTTAGCATTTACAGTATCCTGAATCTGACCCTAAGCATGTGGGTACTTGTGAGTTTAGACTCTCAAGAAAGAGATACATTTGAAGTAGCCATAAAACTAAAATAAAAGGGCGAGGGAGATGGCTCAGGAGCATGAGGCCCGCTGCCTGGCAAGTGCAGGGTCCCAAGTTTGATCCCTGGCTTGCAAAAATAATAAACAAGCACAAATAAACTTCTCTGCAGGAAAAAAACAGGTGCTATGAGCCACCTAATAGAGGTTATTGATCCTGGGAGAACAGAAGATATATATCCCATAATTTAATAATCCTCTTTTTTTAAAAAAAATTATTTATTTATTTGTTTATTTATTTATTTTTGTGTGTGGCCAGCTCAGCCCACCAGGGGGCGGGGCTGGCTGGCATGTGGTGCTGGGGGATTGAAC